CAATTAATTGAGTAGTCATAATATTTGTTTTTTTTTGAAAAAATTTGTTTAAAAGAAAATAATACAAAATTATAGCTTTATCTCGCTATAAATTGTATTAAGAAAAAAATAAATACAAAATTTAGTTTAATTTTACTGAAAATTACACCTATTTATAGAAAAAGAGAGCTTGCATAGAAGAAATAATCTGATCTTAAAACTATATAAAGATTATTCCTATACTTTAGGTTCTATTCAAATAAAATAAATAAAATTACGATTTATGATTAAAAATTCTTTAAATAAAATTTTTTTTGAATAATTGGTTTTACTATTTTAGTATAATAATTAATAAATTGTATTATGATAATCTAAAATTCTACAGAAAAAAATATTTGATATTTTAATAGTCTATAAATACCCTTACCAGTCAAAATTCTAAAAAAAAATGATCTTATTGATATCATAATAGCCCCAAAATGCTCTTACTAACCTGAATTATTAGATTATTAAATAAATAAATTAATTAAATTAAATAAATACATAATATTGTGACTATTTAATTTATTAATTTATTTTTCTTTTATAGGTAGTTTTTGGTTCTTTGGTAAGCAATTAGTTAATTTTTTTTATTTTTCTATTTTATTATTTTTGTTTCTTAAAAGTTCTAATATTTCTATTCTTATTATTTTACTTTTCTTTTTATAGATAGTCTTCAATTAGTTTAATTTTCATTTTTTCATTTTGTTCTTTCAGTTTCTTTAAAAAATTCTAACATAGTTCCTCTCTTAACATTCATTCTTTCAACTTTTTTAACCTAATTCTTTAGGATTACTTCAAATCTTAGATTTAGATAATTTTGTTTGAAGGTTCTAAGCCTAAGTGGTGAAACTGATCAAATCTAAAAAAAATAAAAAAATAAAATATTAAAAAAAACAAAAAAAAGAAAAAACTTTAGCTTATTTTCGCTATAGTGACGAATCAAACAGTTTCGTTCAAAGATTCATCTAGATATAGTACAAGCATTATTATGCTTAAAGAGTTGAATAGCTAAAAAAGTTAGTGAAAATAATAATGATATTAATAATGCTTTGTAAAGCTTGATAATTTTATCATATTATAGTAATTTTATATTTATCATTGTAAATTCAATTTATTTTAATAATACTTTGTAAGATTAAATGATAATTTTTATTATTGAATTATTTGAATAGTTTGAGATAAAAGGACTATTTAAAAAATCTATATTGTTATTAAAAAGCTGCAGTTTTGACCGTTAGTTTAAAAAATTATAATTAGTTGCTAACTCCTTAAACTGAACTTGAGATAAATTGCAGTATTATTATTTTTTTTTGGTAAATATTCAAATAAGGAAAATCTTTATAATGGGATAGTTATTTATCTTTTTTTTTATCAGCTAATACATTTGAAATGCTGAATGCACACATAAAATAAAAAGCTTAGAAGAAGCTTTTCTTCAAAAAAAAATTAAATGTATTTCATATTGGAAAAAATTTTATTCTTATTTGTTCTTCAGAAAACCATAATACAAGTGAAATGAGAAATAAAACAAAAAGAAAACTAGAAAAAATTAGAACATCCAAATGAAAAGGTTTACGTTACATTTTTTCATAGGGTTTGCATGGCTTTTTTTAGTTAGAAACATTATGCTAATTATTTCTTTTTTTATTTTTTAGGACGAGTACCAGAATGAGTGGCTTGGGTATTTTTCATTTAATTAGAAATGTTACTAACATTTTTTTCTTTATTTTGTAGGTTTCTTTCTTTGTTTTTTAGGACGTCAGACCGAACTTAGAGGTAAATGAGGTAAATGGTCATCTTTTTTTAGTTGGAAATATTATTAATGTTTTTTCTTTATTTTGTAGGTTTTTTTCTTTATTTTTTTAGGATGCTGGATCAGACTTGAAGGATAAATAGAAGTAAATGAAATAAATAAGTGTCTCTTTTTTAATTGAAAATATTATTAATGTTTTTTTTATTTTTTAAAACGCCAGACTGAACTTAGGGTAAATAGAGGTAAATAAGATAACTGAAGGGTTAGGTGTCTTTTTTCTAGTTGAAAACGTTTTACTAAATTTTCTTTCTTTATTTTTTAGGATGCCAGACTTGAATGAACTGAACTTGAGGCAAATAGAAGGCATGTGATTTTTAGTTAAAAATGTTCTTATTAATGTTTCTTTTTTATTTTAGAATGCTAGATTTAAATAAAAATTTTCTTTTTAGAAAAAATTTTGATTATTTAATTAATTAAATGAGTTTTTTTGATTTTTTAATTTAAATAAAAATTATTTTTTTTAAAAAAATAAATATTAAATAAGCTATCTAAAATAAAAAAAATTCTAATTTATTAAAAAAAATTCGTCTATTCCAATTATTATTATTGTTTTTCTGATTATATAAAATAAATTTAAAGTAAAATTAGCTAACTAATATCTAAAATTATCTAACCATTTTTAGAATAATTACATGTGTATTATTAGATGATGATTGAATTTCTATATAATAGATAGAGTTCTGAACAGGTCAGTTCAGGTCAGATCAATTAAGTTACTTGAACTAAGAGGATCAAGTCAGGTCAAACAAAAATCTGACCTGATTTAAATTTTCATTTGACCTGACCTGACCTGATCGAATTATAAAACATTAATTTTGAATGATAAACTATCATTCTTGAATGATAAAATCATTATTCTTAAACGATAAATCATCATTTTTGAACGATAAATTATCATTTAAAAACGATAACAAATCATTCAAATTAAATGATAAAATATCATTTTTGTATAATAAAACATTATTCTCGAATGATAAAACCATCATTCAAGAATAATAAATTATCATTCTTGAGCGATAACGAATCGTTCTAATTGAATGATAAAAAATTATTCTCAAATGATAAATCATCATTTTTGAATAATAAAATCATCATTCTCAAACGATAATGAATTGTTCTAATTAAACGATAAAACCATCATTCTAGAACAATAAAATATTGTTCTTGAATGATAAATTATCATTCTAATTGAATGACAATTATATATGCTATGTAATTGCAAGGAGGATGGATAGGCATTTTACTCTATAATCTATAACCTAAGTAGAATTCAAGTCAGAATTGAAATTATGTCTCCATGCCGATCCCTAACATTTTCAGTAATTGATATTTATAGGTAGTAATAATTTAATATTTTATAGATAATTATAAAAGTCCAAAATTATAAATATAAATTTTATAAAATTAGATTATTAAATATAAATTTATAAAAAAAAAACCTCAAATAATTTGTTTTAAAATCTTAAGTTAAAAATCCTAACCATAATTATAGACTTTAAGAAAAAACCCTTTTTATAATAATATATTAAATTTTTAAAATTTTTTTTGTAAAGATCTATTCTACTACATGTCGAATATCACGTGATAAACGATTAATACTAGCTAAAAAATTTAAAAAATTGAAAATTCAGTTCAACAAAAATGATCACTTGTTTCCAACCAAATCTTCTTAAAAAACAAATCATTAAACAAAAACTGAATCAACAAAATCCATTAAAATCAACTAAAAAATTCAAAATTCAAGTCTTTACTAGAATCTAATACCAATATTGAAGATCATAGGCTATTCTCATGTGAAGAGCTCAATATACAATAAAATTCACATATCTTGTTATTGATTTCTTAAAGCAATTTTTTACTGAAAGATATTAACAGAAACAATCAGTTAGGAACAGAGATTATATAATAATATTAATAGTGTGCAGAACTCAAATTTAAATACTCACAGCCCATTTTAAAATTGACTCGTAAAAAAAAATAAATTCTTCCATTTCCGAGAAATCTCTTGGAATTGTGGCGTTGTCGATTTCTTTGATATAATAAAAACCTATCCATAATACAATATAAATCTTTGTTTCACAACATAACAATTTGCTATAATGAAAATCAAAAAGATACCTACCGGTAAAACCAAGAGCATACAAATGTATGTTAAGTTCTATGCTAACAACACCAAAAACTTCCATATTCGGTATTATCAATTCCCTCTTCTCCACCCGATCTTAAAAGTAACATGTTCTTGATTATTTTAATACTAACCTCAAGTTCTTTCTTTGCTTTAACTTTATAAGGACGTGAATCATCAACGAAAACTAGCTGATTTGTTGGAGTCGATCGTAAACCAACGTTATCTCACTTTTGACGGTTGATATTATTTATTGATGGAATTTCGCCGCTAATTACGTATAGCAAAATAAATGAAATGATAATTTGATCCATTAACATAATATTTAAAGAAAAATAACTTACGAAGTATAATAGATGTCAGCACAACTCCATAAAGCTGACTTTATACACGCGTGTATTAGTCATTGAGATGAGGCAGTTCTAGAGCTTCTATATTATGAAGTGGATTCATATATTCCATGTAAACTAATTAATAAAAATTTGAACGTGACACTGTAAATACAAGTTACCAAATGATTTAGTATCTTTCATTAAGTGGATAACTTATTGTCGAGAAAAAATTTTTAATATTAATAAAATAACAAAATCGAAGATGAATAAAAACCTACAATACGCGATCCGCTTCACATTTGTCGTCAACCAAACCAAGATTACACCTTGATCTCCAAATTCATACATATATATGAAGTAGCATAATCACCAATATTTCCTACATCCATCATCAAACCAACAGCAGAAAAGGTTTCTACGTTCAGTAAAGCTATGCAAGTGTAAAGCGCAACCCTTCCGTATCGTTCTGTAATAACATTAAAATATTATTAACCAAAGCGAGATTTGCTGTGATTAATCCAATATTATTATTCACATTGTTTGCATCATATTTATTGCCATCTGAATTAACTTTTAGTCGTTCAAAAAACTCCAAATAGATCCTAGAAAAAAAATTTTTTTGTTAAAAAAAAAAAATCTCGACAATAAAATATATAAATCAAATATTTTTTTCACTTGCCATCTTTAAATGTAATGTTAGATTTCAATTTTTTTTTATTATTACCCATAATAACTTCATTAACGTTACCAACAATGTTTGCCAAAGCAATCTCTCGGATGCCTTGCATTTTTTTCAAAATCAACATCATCTCGATTGGCGTTTTCCAATATAATGAATAATAAGTTCTATTTGAATACGATTCCATAAAAGACAGTGAAGGCCTATAAATAAAAGAGAAGTTAAAAAATTATATCTTTTTCTTATAAAAAAGAATTTCCGAATTATAAAATATATATATATATATATTAAAGCGAACCTCTTGAGCTATTTGACACGTTTGGTGGAAATTGGGCTTCTGTAAAATGTTCAACGTTGACTGAAACATAAAGACGAAAACTTACGTAATCTCTATAATCTTTATTAAATTAGGGATAAACGTAAATAAAAAAAACCATAATACCCGAAATGATCAAAATATATAAAAGTTTTAATGAAAGTACAAACCTCAGCAACAACCATAAATTTTTTCAAAACAGCGAATCCAAAGATCTTTTTTATTTTTTTAAAAAAGTCCGTGAAGATATTTTTTGAATTGTTATCCTTCCTTAACACGATACGACTCTAAAAGATAAGATTTGGGTTTTTATCACGAGCCCATGAACGTGTTCCAACATATATAACGAGCATATTCCGAGTTTCAACATTATTCCGAGTTTAAAATGCCTGTAAGGATAACATTAAGAAAATTTAAAACTAAAACTGTAAATGACCAATTTAAATCAAAAGTATTCGATTTATATTATTTACCTTTTTAATTACAATAAACTTTCTCATTATTATAATCTTTTCTTAACTATACGAATTAGATCTTTTTTCCTAAAACCAATACCTCCGGCTCCACGGCCAAAGAGGTTGGAACCAGTGATGTGTTATCGTTCTTATACGATCACGTGCTATTTTCTTATACGATCAAATTATGCAACAATATGCACCCCTTTTTATGTATCTTTCTTGGACCATCAGATGCTATTTTCTTGTACGATCGGATATGCGTCTTTTTTAACAAAAAAATTTCAAAACTCGTGAAGTGATATTTTACTAAAAGCGCGTTTAATCACTTTTATATTTTTTTATTTTAATTTTTCTTTGTTCAAACAAAACTTTATCACCTTTATATAATTATTTCATTTTACTTCAAATAATTGACTAATTAGCGCTAGATTTTTTTATAGGAAAAAATTATTTATTATTAAGAAAAACGAAAAATTATGATTTATTCAAATAAATTTGTAATGTGAGCGAAACATATTAGAAATTAGGTAAGTTATGTGAATTATTGTAAAAAAAAAGGTGAATTTAACATATTAAGTGACTCAGATGATTGTAAATCTGTAGGTAATGAGTCTGAAGAATGGGTTCGCGGCTGGTAATGGGTTTGCGGCTGGTGTATATAAGGATTATATAAGGGTTGATTGCTATTAGGAGGAATATATAAAGACTGCAAAGTATTAGCAGAAGGAGAAATATAAGAAAAGCTATTAGGAGAAAAAATATGTGAATCATATAAGGGTTGTGAAATATTAGTGGAAGGTAAAGATGTGGGCGAAACTAAAATCTTAAGGTCGAAACGTTTCGGCTTTCAAGAACTAAAATCCGAAACTTTCCGATAATCCGAAACTAAGACGAAA